AAGTTTTCAATTAAAGATACTTCAAATAACAAGCTATATCCCTCAAATATCCATTACCTCTCTAAAACATTTACATATTGATTTTAATCTAATCTATTTGAAAGATGTCTTTGGTTTACTAAATCAATGCTGCTCCTCTCGTTAGGGAACTGGTTTTGGATTCATTAATTCTCCAAATATTTGTATTCTGAGTGTCTTTTAGGGCTAAGACATTCTTTAAATCACACACACACACACACACACACACACACACACACACACACGAACAACTCAACCTATAGGTTAATTCAGGCATTCTTCTCTCATCCAGTATATAAGGTGTACTAGCCCTGGAGACAAACTCCTGGGTTTCCCAGCTTTGCTGGGAAAGTATTTGAGTAATTTACTTAATCTCTCTGTACCCTAGTTTCCTCCCCTCCAATTAACTAATTAATTCCTCATGGAATTAAGAGAGTTAATACATTGTATAAAGCACATTGCATGATGCTTGGCATATAGTAAGTATTCAAGAAATTTTGGCCATTCATTTAGTACTGAGCATGGAGAAAAGCAATGTAGAAGTGCAGATACAGAGATAAATAAATTTAAAAAAAAAAAGAGCATGAAAGAATCAAAACTTGAACTGATTCTTGGAGAAAAGAGGGAGTTTAATAAGTAGCTGGAGAAGGGCCAGGTCAAGCAAATGGTACAAGTGAAGACACAGAACTGTGGGACTAAACAGTGTTATCTGAGGAATTGTAAATGATTCATTACAGCTGGGTTAAGAGAGATATTCGAGAATGAGGGAGTAGAAACTATGATTTACTGGCCAAACCTAGGTGATGGTAAGTGGGGCAGAGGGTAGATTTCTGGTTGATGATGATGATGCCATTACTGAATAAGAAAACATGGGAGATGGTGTGGGTTTTGACAAATATTGGGTTTTCGGCAAGGTATGTGAGGAGCGCTGAACATTTAAGTGGAGATATACAAGTGGATATGCAAATCTGAGGCTTTACCGGATTACTCTAGTGTCCTAACAGTATACCAGAACATTCAGTTCAGTGTGCCATTGTTGGTGGTGGCCAGAGACTTGAGAACTTTACTACAATTACTAGGAACCAGCATGGAGAACAAGAATAATGTAAGCTAATCTGGTATTTGGAGCATTTGGAACAGCAGGAGCTAAATAGAGTAGAAATGGAGGCAGGCTAGTATGGGACCCTAGGAAGAAACTAGAGTAAAAAGAGTTTTATATCAATTAGGATGCTTTGGGTTGAAAATGACAGAAAACTGATTTATATTGTTGAGACTTGACATATGTAATTAAAAATACAAGCTGACGGAAAGGGAGGATAGCTTTATACCAAGACAATTCAGGATCGACCCTAAGCTGAAGGTGAGGAATTCAGCTTACTTTCAACATTTAGCAGTTTTATTGAGTGCTTGCTTACTTATGCCAGGCACTGTTTTAGTTAACAGGCAAAATGTCTATTCTCTGGACCATATAAAAAGGAATTCATGAGCACTCTTTCTTCATTCAGATGGAAAAAACTAAGTGCAGGGAGATGAAGAGAGAAAGCTTTAGGGTTTAATGAAAACTCCAAAATATTTGCTGGGAGTTTTAGCACCTCTTTGTAGGAACGTCTGAACTTCTGCAATTACTATCAAATGGAGGGGTGAAATACAGAAGCAGTTAAGTATAGATACCAAACTAAAAAGTCAAAATCCAACCAATGATATATTTTAAAGCCCAATGTGGATTTAGTCAAAGTTTTTGACTTAATCAAATTGAATTGTCGAGAATTCATTCATATTGTATAAAACTGACAAAACATATTTTCAAATATTTGTGGCTGAGCTTTCTAACTTAATTATGTTAAGTATATCTTCTATGTAGGTCATATCCAAACCTACATTCGTCCATTCATATTTTAATTTAAAAAGTTTGCAGTAAAACAAAACCTCATGCTCAGTCATTATATCCAACTAAGCACAATCAGTTTCATATGTGCTTTCCTGTTTTCTATTGCTGACTCCCCGGGCACCTGTGGGTACATTGCTTCACCTCACTGAGCCTATTTTCTGTTCTCTGATTTGGAAATTGTAAAACCTATGTCATAGGATTTTTAAAAAAATAAAATACTAGTATGTGTTGAATGTGTTAACGTAAACGCACTACATACAATTGAAGGTTAAGATTAGCCACAAGTTTGCCATAAGTTCAGGCTTTAGCATTTTAATGGCTGAAAAGCAGTCTTAATTTGTAATTTCTTTTTGAGAGAGAGAGAGAGAGAGAGAGAGAGAGAGAGAGAGAGAGAGAGAATTTTTGTAGTATTTATTCTTTAGATTTTGGCGACATATTTGTTTGTACATGGTGCTGAGGACCGAACCCTGGCAGCACGCATGCCAGGCGAGCGCACTACTGCTTGAGCCACATCCCCAGCCCTGTAATTTTTTTTTTATTCCAGTTAGAATGCTTTCCAAACAATTCTATCAAGTTTTTATACTGTAAATTTTAAAATACGGCTCACATATGCTTCGTCTTTTTTTCAAATTACCCTGTACAAAAAAGTCATGAATGCCTGATGTAGCTTAGCCTCCTGAAAGATAAAGGAAACAATCAAGTGATTTGATTCTCTAAAAAGATATTTGAATAAAAGAATTATCTATATGAACTTTTATGACCCTTCTCCACTGAGTTTTCACTAGATGAACCTCTGTACCCATATGAACACTTGTGCAAAATGTTCCCAGGACACCTCTGAAGGGGAAAAAGAATCCACTCTATTGCAGTGAAGGAGAGTGATATGGAAAAGTCCATTTTTTTTTTGACCAGGGATATTTCTGTGAAGCAATTCATAAGAAAGTTCATTTCCCTTTCCATTTTTTTAGCCATGTTTTGAAAAAAAAACATTTTTAGATACAAATGGTTGTCAGATGACTACAAAATACTTAACTTTCTTCTTGAGCCCTCTATTTCCTTTTACAAAATAAAAACTAGCCATGATCTCTACTGGCATAGGTGTATAGCTCCCAGAACTGCTTAATCCCACAGATGCAGCCACCACCTGTTTGAAAAACTAAAACATACCCCCTTCTCCAAAAAAGAAAAAAAAAAAAAGATATTTGCTTCCCCAGTTGGTACTTTCTAGAAAATAAGTTGAAATTATCACCAGGGAACCAATACACTTTTATTCTTTGTCATAAACTAATTGATGAGTTCAATCAATGGGTAGTAAAGAGACTTAAAAATTTTCAGACAGTGGCATGCTGGGCCTTTTTCCCCCCTTTTCCTCAATTTTAAAATCTTGCAATATTTCAGTAACTTCTTAGATTTATTTCAACAATCCATGCATCTGGACTAAGGATTTCTCCAGAGTTTGAGAATCACAGCCTAATAATTCTTTTATTTATATGTAGTTTGGTGTCAAATTGGGGTCATGCTTTACCAGCTGCTACTCCCTTCTGTATCTTTGATCTTTAAAGAAAATTCTTGTTTTAGCAGTTACTTCAATTTTGGGATTTTTATTTGCAAACCTAGGTAAGTGACAGGACTGTTTTTTCTAAGTTTGAGATATATCATTATGTTCCTTCCTCATCAAACAAAACACGAAAGCTGGCACAATTACTTTTAATGACTTTTACGAATCATGATATATTTAATATATTTTCCCAACTTAATGAATTCTATGTAACTTTTAAAATTTTGGCAGTTTTTTTCTATACTGAATGTGCAGCGTCCTATAATTTCCTCTTTGTCTCTTAAAAGTGTAAGAATCATGGAAAGATTGATGCAGTGTCTTTTTATTGTTCTAAATGCTACAAATAAACTGGGCAAGGTGGTATATGCCTATAATCTTAACGACTCAAAAGGCTGAGACTGGAGGGTAAGTTCAAAACCAGCCTGGGCAATTTAGTGAGACTCTGTCTCAAAATAAAAAATGAAAAAGGCTGGGGAGGTAGCTCAGTGGTAGAGCACTTCTGGGTTCAACCCCTAGCACCACAAAGAAAAACCTATGAATAGCTACAACATTTTGGATTGTATTACTCAAATCCAAGGTTACATCTTCCCAAATACTCCTAGTTTGTTTTGTTGAGTATTACTATATGCACACCATTAAAATAGGGGCGAGCTAGGCTCAGTGGCACATGCCTGTAATCCTAGGCTCGGGAAGCTGAGACAGGAGAATGAGAGTTCAAAGCCAGCCTCAGCAAAAGTGAGGTGCTAAGCAACTCAGTGAGACCCTGTCTCTAAATAAAATATAAAATTGGGCTGCAGATGTGACTTGGTGGTCAAGTACCCCTTGAGTTCAATCCTGGGTATCAAAAAAAAAAAAATAGGAACAGACTAGAGAAAACATGTAGAAATAGGACTGCTAGATAAAATTACAAGATGCTCAGTTAAATTTGCATTTCAGATAAACAGGGTTTTTTATTTATTTTGTGGTACTAGGGATCAAACCCTAGTACCCTTTATTATACATGCTAGTCTACCACTGAGCTCCATCTCTAGCCCTTTTCATATTTTATTTTTGAGACAGGGCCTAAGTTACCCACACTGGCCTCTAATTTGTGATCTTCCTGCCTTGGCCTCCTAAGTAGCTGGGATTATAGGTGTGTGCCATGATGCCTGGCTAGACAAACAAACTTTGATATTCGCATGTCCCAAATATCACACATACTGAAACACTGTTTACCAGTATTTGAAATCCAAACTTAACTGAGTGCCCTGTAGTTTTCTTTGCTAAATTTGACAACCCTTTATAGAGAACACTTATTCTTCAGTATACTATTTAATAGGAAAACTAATGAATAACATAAGGCCATATCTAATAAGTACAATCACACTCAGGGGAGGAACAGAAGAGTACCTGGAAGAGATGGCAATTAATGTAGGTCTTGAAAAATGACTAAATTTTCAAGTGGCTTAACGTGGGCAGGAGGTTTAATGTGATGACTTTGGAGTTCAAGCGTCCTGAGTTAAATTCAATATTCATCACTACCTGTGCAACCTTGGACACGTTACTCAAGCTCTCTTTATTATAAAACGGGATACTAGTACTTTTCTTACAAAGCTGCTTGAGGATTAGAGATAACATATATACAAAGCACCTGGAACATGAGGCACTCCCCCAATGGTAATTCCTCCTTGTCACAAGGAAGGTACTTGTCACAAATATTCAAATGTTGATATTATGCAGTAAGAGTAATATTGAATAAGTAATTTTATTTCCATGATCTATTTACACTGTACAAACACTGATGAAAAGCACCCTACAAGTTCACAGTACATTACAATATATTCACTTTAAAAATATATTCCTTTATAAAAGGTTCATAGAACATTTCCATGTCAATATGTGACAAAACTCTCAAAGCATGTCACCAATTATGTGATAACAAGAATGCTTCCAAGTACTGTTAATTTCACAATCACAGATCACCATTTGAATTTTAAATACATACAAGTTTTAAATTAAAAATGAATTCTACAGTGGAAAGTTCTTGAAGCAATACTTATTAGTTCATTAACATATGTACTTTCACAGAGATGTTTTGTCATAATAACCCATAACATCAAATTAATCTGCCCAAAGACACATTTCAACAAGTTTAGTAGTCCAAAAATTCTTGTCACTTGTGGTTGTTTACTTTTTCTTCTTTGCTTGTTCTCCTGGTTCTACTTTGCGCTTTTTTGAAGTATGCTCATCTTTTTCATCATCTTTAAATAGGAAAGGAAGAGTTTCAATCAGTAATTTAAAGAGCAACCAACATGAAAAGCATTAAAATGTCATAGGTTTTATACCAACATAAACACCTTCAACTGTTAGAATTTCCAAATAAAAACTTAAAAATAATTTTTAGAACTGATATTAAACTCTAAATGAAAACATTTTTTTTTCAATTACAGCAATATAAAATTCACAAATTTACTTTTTTTGTTGTTACTAGGGATTGAACTCAGAGGCACTCAACCACTAAGCCACACCCCCAGCCCTATTTTGCATTTTACTTAGAGACAAGGTCTCACTGAGTTGCTTAGCACATTATGTTTGCTGAAGATGGCTTTGAACTCAGGATCCTCCTGCTTCAATCTCCTGAGCCACTGGGATTACATCTGTGTGCCATGGTGCCCAGTGCACAAATTTATTATTTAGCACTACATTAAAGTAGTTTAAATAGAAGAGTTTCCATGAAAATCAGATTTGCTCTGAAAAATTATTCTCTAATATTCTACAGTATATACACTGCATATTAATGACATCTATACTTTGTAAGAATGGAGCACATTGTTTTCTTACTATAAGAAGGATCAATCTAACCATGACATCATTCAAGGGGTTATCAGTTGTCCTTTTCAATCTTTCTTTCCTCTCACAACTATTTCTTTTCCCCCCATTCTCAGCAACCACTCCCCCTTGCATTTTGAGGTTAAAAAGCACAAGTAAAGGTTTCACTGAACCTCCATTTTCAGTTTTGCCATGTGTAGTTCTAATCTCCATTCCTAAATCAGAAAATTCCAATGGCAACAGAAGAACACTATCTTCCCCTCTTCATATTGTGTCAAATTTGGATGGAGGTAGAGAAGAACCATATATTAAAACAGTGTCCTTGCCAGGTAAGGTGGTACATATGTCTGTGATCTCAGCAACTTGGGAAGCTGAAATCAAGAGGATCACAAATTTGAGGCCAGCCTGAGCAATTTAGCCAGGCCCTAAGCAACTGAGAGACCCTGTCTCTAAATAAGTCAAATAAGGCTAAGAGTATAAAAGCACTCCTGGGTTCAATTCCCAGCACCAACCAACCAAACCATCTTTCACACTTCCAAAACATTACTAGTGTCTGTAGCCACAGAAAATTTCCAATGAACAAAAACTGTCAAATCTAAAAAAGTGGATTTTTTTTTGTTTTTTTGGGGATTGAACCCAGGGCCTTGTATATTTGAGGCAAGCATTCTACCAACTAAGCTCTATCCCCAACCCTGGATCTTTTTATTCTATTAAAAAGTCTGCCAAGGTGCAGTTGTGCATGCCTGTAATTCCAGGCACTTAGGAGGCTGAGGCATGAGGATTCAAGTTTAAAGCCAGCCTTAGCAATTTAGTGAGGCCCTGAGCAACTTAGTGAGACCTTTTCTCAAAATGAAAAATAGAAAGGACTGGGAATGTAGCTCAGTGTTTAAGCACTTCTAGTTACTATCTCCAGTACCAAAAACAAAACAAAAAACCCCATAAAATTCCAACTATATGGTTCAATAAAATACAGGGTAGCACAGACTAGTTGCTAATTCCCACGTCCCTACATAAATATGTGGCACTATTTTAAGAATTCCATACAGAATAAATACATCACATGTAGAAGATGTTATGATTTATAAAACAAAATTTTATTCATCGCATTAATGAATTAATTGTAGTTTTTCTTGATCAACAGAGACTCAAAGTCCAACAAGTATCATAAGTGATGCAATAAATATACGTTGAAAGGTACTTTCTCATTAAAAAGTTGGAGAACCTGATATTCAATCACAAATTACTTGAAATACATTTAAAACCTTAAGCCTTCAATTCTCTTCTAATGAATGTACCATACTCAGAACAATTCATTTTTTAATGAGGACAATAATTAGTATCAAGTGATCCCTATTCATTTATCTTCAAATACAACTTGGCAATATCATTCATGTCTCATAGAGCACTATGAATTTACATAAGCAATATAATAAATACAATTCATATCAATAACTCCAATCTGGAATTTCAAATCAAAGTTTTAATCAGTAGTTTACCATGTACACAGAAAAATACTGACTCTACAAGTTAACTGATACAATACTCTATTTAAGCCATGAACTTTTTGGGGGGGCGGGTAAGGGGACTGGGAATTTTAACTCAGGGGTGTTTTACACTACTGAGTCACATCCCCAACTCTATTTATTTTGAGACAGGGTCTTGCTTATAAAACAAAATTTAAGTTGCTTAGGCTGGTCTTGAACTTGGGATCTACTTGCCTCAGGCTCCAGAGTTGCTGGGATTGCAGGCATGCATCACTGTACCTGACCAGGACGTTTGGCTATTTTTTTTTTTTTAAATATTTATTTTTCAGTTGTAGTTGGACAGAATATCTTTATTTATTTACTTTTTTTACGTGGTGTCGAGGATGGAACCCAGGGCCTGTGCTTGAGAGGCGAGCACTCTACCGCTGAGCCACATCCCTAGCCCCAATATTTGTTTTTTAACTGGAGTTACCATCAAGGTTATATTGAGATTATTTTCAGGAATGGTAATAAAAAAATTAAAAGCACTTTCTAAGCCTCCTATAAAATTCACTATTAACAAATATTGAGAAGATGACCCCAAGACACTTCTCCTTCTCCTTTTATTCTGCCACTTATAAGTAAATTTACTGATAACAAAACCACAAACTACTGAGATTGAAAAAAAATAACTTCTATCAGTGATTTAAGTAGAGGAGCTGTTGCCATCTAGTGTCAAGACAAAGAATTACCTTAAAAACCAGCGCAGGAAAAACAAATCTGAAAATGCTCATTCATCAGCTTTAGGGAGCTTTTGTCACATGGTACTGTTGCACTGGTGCAGAAATAATTTATCAATTATGGAACTCAAGCAGCACACGGTAAGTAAGTTTAACATCAATATAAACTTTTTAAATTTTAGAATAAATAAAAATAATAAGCTATGTTAGCTAGGCTTTTACAATTACATGCTGATGAAGTTACAAAGAGTATCTAAGCCTTTCTTATCCATGTTTTATGAACACTAAATATGCTGATAATCCCAGCTATTCCAGCTATTTGGAGGCTAAGGCAAGAGGAATCCAAGTTGAAGGCCAGCCTGAGCAACATAGTAAGACCCATTCTCAAAATAAAAAGGGTTGGGGATGTAGTCACTTGTCCAGCATGCACAAAGCCTGGGTTTTAATTCCCACCATTGCAAGCCAAACCAGATCAAAACAACAGTGCTACAAAGCAGCAAGATCTAACAGATGAGTTTAATCTTACCCAACTCCTCTAAAAAGTCTCTGAAAGAAATTAAATGGCAAAAAAGGCCAAAGGACAGGAAATGGAAGGTAAAACAAAAGTTAAGTGTAACATGAAAAACATGGTTTAATTTTTAATTCATGAATTTAAAAAATAAGCAAATCTTACTGATTTTTAACAATGAATCTGAGTGGCTTTTGATGGAAGTCTACAATGGCAAAAACAAAACAAAAACAAAAACTACTTCTAAAGAGGAAGTTATTTACTACAAAAAGAAAAGTCACATTAATAACTACCATTAAAGTCAAATTTGAAAATTGCAGAATTATCTTTTAATCATATGATCCAGCTATAAACCAGCTGAATCTTGGGTCTCTGTCTTTTGCTATTGCCTACATTTACTTTGATAAACAACCATCATGTGATCAAAAGGACATAAATTATTTGAGAGAATAGTATTTTTTGCCACTTGCTTGGAATTCCTTCTAACTGAACTAAGAAATAAGAGAAATAATTATTTCTTACTTGCTTGCCCTGGTAAATAATCCTGGCCTTTTCCATAAAGGGACAAAAATATTAAAGCACCAGCCTAATGACAACCTAGTTTAAATAACTACTCTAGTGACCTTCCTACAGAAACAAAACTATTTCTCAAGCACTCTAGTTTGGAAAACATGAAGAAAGCACCTTCAGCTTAACAAGGCACAATTTCCATTTAAAGATCTCTTTGAAACCCTAGTCTGCCTATTTTTATCTTTTATAATTTAGACAAATCATTTTATCTGAGATTGTTTTGTCTATAAAATAGTAAAAATGCAGGCTGGGGATATAGCACAGTTGGGTAGAATGCTTGCCTCACAAGCACAAGGCCCTGGGTTCAATCCCCAACACCACAAAATAAAAACAAACAAAAAAATAGTAAAAATGCATCATGTGCCACTAATTTATCAAGTTGTTAAGAGTAATTAATTAGAAAACTTGTGTGAAAATTACCTATTTTAGAGCATGTATTTTCTAGTTTTGTGACCTCGGACAAGTCACGTTAAGTTCTCATTTCCACATTTTCCCATGTGGTTTCACAAGGCTCTGTAAGGATTAAAGATTATTTATGCAAATGTACTTTATTAATTATATAAAATATTATACAATAGGAGGTATACTATAAGTGCCCACTCGATTTAAGATCTCCAAAAAAGGATGCCATTCACTAAGCGTATGCTTTCATTCATGACTCCTAATACACACCAGGAGACTACTGAAAGAAAAATTAGGTAGAATCAAAACTGGGATATGAACATTTGCCCATTAGTTAATCCTTCTCTTAAATCATAACTCTCTGTGAGGCTATAAAGGGAACTAAATAAGTGGTGCTTGCACTGTGAGACCAGAAATCTGTTAGATAAAAGGCACACCCTTTCTAAAAATGGATAGTCCAAAGCATTATGTTCATTAAGTTCAATCTGGCAATTATTTGCTAAATACTTACAAAGTAATAACTATGATACAACATACAGAGGACCAGGATCCTGTTGATGAATTTATTTTCATGAAGGAAACAGACTTAAGAAAAAATAAGACACAGGTGATAAATGACATTAGCAGCATTAGCATATATGAAGTACAGAGGAGCAATTATTACTTAGAGATTACACCTGAGATAATTATTATTATTTTTTGAGCTGGATTTTGAAGGATGAATGAATCTACCAACCAAATAGAAAGGAAAGAATATTCTAGACTAAGGTGAAATATATTAAAAGGCAGAGCACCATAAAATAGCATGATGTATGCAGTTCTGAATTTCAAAATCTTACAATGCTGGAAATGAGGTCCTTCAAGATGATGAAAAAGAAGCCAGGGGTGGTGGTGCAAGCCTATAATCCCAGCACCTTGGGAAGCTGAGGCAGGAGGATTGAGAGTTCAAAGGCTGCCTCAGCAAAAGCAGGGCATTAAACAATTCAGTGAGCCTGTCTCTAAATAAAATACAAAAAATAGGGCTGGAGATGTGGCTCAGTGGTCTAGTGACCCTGAGTTCAATCCTGGTACCCAACAAAACAAAATGATGGTGAAGACACAGGCAGGGCCTATCAGAAAGCTCAAGTCTATCTTGTGTTGAAGGGTTTTAATCAGGCAAATTATATAATCTGTGACTTTTAGAAGTCTCAACTACTAGCTGCAGTGTGAAGGATGAAACCATGGGGGTAAGAGTTCAGAGGCAGAGATTCCTGTGACAGTTCAGGTAAGAAATGAAATTATGATACTATGAACTAAGACAAGAAAACCAGATCATTTCCTTCCTATTACTATGTAGTGATACTTAAATCCATCTTATCACACTGATTTTTAGTTCTAAAACACAACTGCTTTAAATTGAAACTGTCAGCACTTCACAAGTGCAATCACAAGAATCTGCTGCATGAATTAGTTCTTGTTGTTCTAATAAAATTATCATAAATCATGTAAACTGATTGTGATATCAGAAATTTCACTTTAAAACCTGAATAATTTATGATGTTTCACTTTCAGTAGCAAATACTACTGGTTTAGATATCAGACTTCGATTTAAAATTGAAAAATATCTTTTTTCAAAAATAGAGCACAAAGTATCCAATGTCCATTTCAGTTTGTCAAAATGCTAGGTTTAAACTTTGTTCATTAAATATCTCATTCTTTTTAAACCCATCACAGGGACCAAGATAACACCACCAGAGCCTAATTCTTCTTACCTGATTCTAATGTCTCCTCTCCTTCTGGTAGAAGCCTAGCTTTCTTAGCATTCTGTGGGGCATCATCACCATTGTCCTCATATATGTTCGACCATTTTATTGCCATATCCAGCTCTGGAGGCGGAGGTTTCTTCTCAGTAGTGTAGGTCTCTGGAGGTGGCACATAGTTTGACTTCCATATTTTGAATTCCTTTGGAGGCTGTTAAGTAAGCACATTAAGAAGCCCTGTGACGAACCGAGGTTCCATGATTAATATGAACACATGCACCTCCCTGCCGTTCGATTACCGTGCTGTCTGACTTTTTTTGTTCTTAAGGTTTAAAGATACATTTTTTTTGCATCAAAAACACAATACTGTTAAGTGAAAAGCCAAAGGTTTCCCTATATGAATAAAGCTAATAACTTTTAGTTACCAAAGAAGAATCCAGTCTCAGATACTACGCCAAGGCTGACCCCTTCAGGAGGCTGCAGCAGACACTGTCTTGGAGGCAGCACCGCAGGCACTTCGGCGTCAAAGGGAAGGGGTCTCGGGGAGAAGCTGCAGCGAGGGGGGCGGGGGAGTCACCACCGTTAGTCCTCGCCCCGCGGGTGGGGGCACCGAGCGCGGAGGTTTGGGTCTCCTCACAAGGGGCGGGGCTGCGGGTCCGGTCCGACACCCACCAGGATGGGGAGGGGACCCGGGCTCCCTAGGGCTGGAGATGGGAGGGGGTGGTGCGGCATCCCGCGGGGGATAGGGGATGACTGCGTGTGGGGGAACGGACTGCCGGCCCCTAGGACCGCGCTCAGGAGGAATGGGGCGGAGGCCGGGGCCAAGATCGGGAAACGGGGTCGGGGACCTCACCTCCTCAGGCGCTTTGACGACGTGCCTCTCCCAGTCTATCTGCTTGTTGAGCGGATTATAGAGAAAGGCTGGGCGAGTCACGCTCCGGAACAGCTCATCAGGTCCGGGCAGTCGATTCTTTGCCTTGTTCCCACAGCCGCCCGCCGACTTCGCCAGATCCGGGCCCTTCGGACTCGTTTCCTCCGGCTCGCTGTTATCCTCCTCGCCCGAGGAGTCTGAGCTGCTGCTCCCGTATGCCGCAAAATAGCTCAAAGGATCCTTCTCCTCAGCTGCCATGGCGGCTGCGCACGACGACCCACGACTCTGCCGGAAGCCGGAAGCCGCTTCAGGACCCTCCCCACGGTTGGCTCCGCCCCAACTCTTGCAATTGTTTCGCGGTCTGCGACCCCTGGTGGTTGGGCTGCGCTTCTACTCCTGGACTGAGAGCGTAGGCTGGAGGCGGGATGCCACAAATCTGTTTTTGCTCTGTCCCAAAGAGTCCTCAGGAGAGAGGAGATTTTTGAGCCAGTGGTCCCAACCAAACTTTAAACATTCAGTAAGTTTTACTGAAGGCATAGAAAGCTAAGAACTTTTACTTTTTCAGTGTTACTCTAGTCACTGCCTAATAAGGAATAGACTGACAGGAGTAATGGAAACATAAGGTTAAGGGAATAATTCTATAAAAATGGACCCATTGTGCTGACTCCCACTTTCTCTTTTCAAAAGCGATTTATGAGCAGCCCTGTCCGAGTTACATTCTTCAGTAAACAACCTGTTACCTGCAGGGGAAATGCAGGTCCAAAATGCCAATAAAAAGAACATAAGTTACCCTGAAGGGTGGGACTTTTGTGACCCTTACACAGACCAAATCCCAGAACTCAGGGTGATAAGGGTAAGTTCTCCTAATCATAGAATCTATAAGAATAGGTTCCCATTAGAACCAGTCAGTTTAGGTCAAAGTGACCTAGAGTTGACATGCACGGTGGGGACTTGAAAAAAATCTGATGTCATCCTGTCAAAAGCCAAGGGGTGGACCTGGGCGGAACTTTGGAAACTTCCCTGGAGCCCCCCCCCCCCAACAAAACTGGAGGTGCACTGCCTCTCTCCTCTCTGAGAGGATCTATTGTGTCCCTTTAGAGTATCCCTCTTTGCTTTTACTTTTCCTTCTAATAAATTCATTCTTGTTACTGATATGTCTAAAATCCTTCTGGAATGATTGGAAGAATCAGATAATGAAGTGGCGGGGAGGGGGCATTATGCACTAGAGATTAGAATTTCTTCCAGGTTCCTCTTTCAAAAAAAAAAATTAATCTTAGTGTGCCTCCCTCAGTTGATATGAAACACTCTTGGGAGTGGTGAAGGCCTTTATCCCCCAAGGAAAAAAAAAACAAATCTTTTTCATTTGAACTCATTCAAATGCACTCTTAAGAGTCTCTCTCTGATGAAACACTCTTGGATTGCATCCCATTTCTCTGGGGGGGGGAGGTCTTCTGAACTTTCTGACTTCCCATTATCAGCCTCTTTCCATGCCTGCTTTATTCCTTTATGGACCATATATGTTGGTGCTTCCCAACATATTATCTTTCAGCAACACTTGCTAACATTTTGTAGAGGGTGTACAAAATTGCATGTCAGCTCACCTCTTTCCTTGGCATCAAGAATCTTATGCTGTGACTCCCAAATCTGGGTCTCTAGCCCCAACCTTTTCTCACACATTCCAGACCAAACCTCCACTGGCTCTTAAACTTTCCACAGGCACATCCTGCTGGGACCTTAATGTTTTACTTATTGTAATAGTACCTTGTTTTTCCATATAACTTGTTTCTGCATTGTGTTCTTTGTCTTAGAAAATTACATAATCATGTACCTATCTACCACAGAAACTAGAAATCTTTGACTCTAGTGAACTAAAGAGGGAATGATACTCAAATGAAGTAGGTGTCAGTGTAAATGTTTAGACCCCCACTCAAGCATGCCTGCTCATTCAGGTGATACTCACCTTCATTTAAAACTTGCTATTCCTCCCCAGAGGTAGGCTACAAGGACAAAGATATGTCTATCTTCTTTACTCCTCTATCCTAAATCTTATAGGACAATGTCCATGAACTCCTTGATGGAAGGAATGGATTGTGCTTTGTTCACGTTTATATTCCTAGAACTTAACTCA